ACGTGAAATTGGGATTGTGAAAGCAAGGGCTAGATGTGGATAATCCTGTTACTAAAAGAAAATTTTTTCTAACTTTTGGATAATCTTACGATATCTTCTCTTTTTTTCTGTATTTTTACAGATTGCTGTATTGGACAGACGCGAGTGAAAACAAACCAAAAATAGAATATTCATGGATGAACGGAGATCAACGTAAAGTTTTAGTTAACAGTAACTTGGTTTATCCGACTGGAATAACAATAGATTATTTTATGAATGATCGTATTTACTGGTGTGATTATAAATCTAACGTCATAGAAACCATGAAATATGACGGAACTGACCGTCATATCGTTATTAAAAAGGGTAGGTCAAATAACAATCTAAAATGGCGATATCCAAAGTAGAGAGTTTCGCTATCCCAGAATTCATCGTTATCAATGTCTCCGTGTGGGGCACAACTATATCGTTATTAAAAAGGGTAGGTGTAATAACAATATAAAATGGCGATATCCAAAGTAGAGAGTTTCGCTATCCCAGAATTCATCGTTATCAATGTCTCCGTGCTGGGCACAACTATATCGTTATTAAAAAGGGTAGGTCAAATAAAAATATAAAATGGCGATATCCAAAGTAGAGAGTTTCGCTATCCCAGAATTCATCGTTATCAATGTCTCCGTGTGGGGCACAACTATATCGTTATTAAAAAGGGTAGGTGAAATAAAAATATAAAATGGCCATATCCAAAGTAGAGAGTTTCGCTATCCCATAATTCATCATTATCAATGTCTCCGTGTGGGGCACAACTATATCGTTATTAAAAAGGGTAGGTCAAATAACAATCTAAAATGGCCATATCCAAAGTAGAGAGTTTCGCTATCCCAGAATTCATCGTTATCAATGTCTCCGTGTGGGGCACAACTATATCGTTATTAAAAAGGGTAGGTCAAATAAAAATATAAAATGGCGATATCCAAAGGAGAGAGTTTCGCTATCCCAGAATTCATCGTTATCAATGTCTCCGTGTGGGGCACAACTATATCGTTATTAAAAAGGGTAGGTCAAATAAAAATATAAAATGGCCATATCCAAAGTAGAGAGTTTCGCTATCCCATAATTCATCATTATCAATGTCTTTGTGCTTACGGAACCAAAGACCGAGGAGATGGCTTGACTTACAAAGTTGTTCAAAGGGAAATTTTTGCCCCTCGACTGTATTTGGTAGAGAAATAAGACCGCATTTTTTAGTTTTGCTATCCCATAATTCATCGTTATCAATGTCCCCATGCTTACGGAACTAAAGACCGAGGGGGTAGGTAACTTACGAAGCTGTTCGAAGAAAGGGAATTTCTTACCCCTCAACTGAATTTTGGTACCATGTGGAAAATAAAATGAAATGAATGGAGTTTTACGTCCTGCTTTTCTGCACCTGATTGGGCTGATGAAGATAGGCAACACCATGCAGTGTGCAATGAGGGAAATTTTGCCAGTTGCATTTGCCTGCTCTTATTCGATTTCCAATTGTAGGGCCATATTTGTCGGTCTATCTATTACTAAATATCGTGATTCTCATGTTTTACAGGTATCTATAAACCCTTCAATATAGATGTTTTTGAAAGTATGTTGTACTGGTCCTCGCGAGATGAAGGCAGAATTATAAAGATGAATAAATTTGGAAAAGGCACGAATTCTACGTTACAAACTGGGTTATTGTTACCTACTGGCGTTAAAGTTTTCCATAAAAAACGTTCCGATTTAGCAGGTATGTAGGCTTGATTATCATGTCATAATTTTTTACAAGGATAATAACTCCGCGAGGATCCTTTCTACCAGCTGGTCCTTGGACATTGATCTTTCCCGGATTATCTGTACCCATTTACAGCCGGGTAGATTGGAATTATAGGAAGCGATAACTTATTCAAGGTCTCTAGACTTTCAATTTGTTTGTCACATGAAATTCAACAGTTAAGTGAGCCACTTAATACAAAATTTAGCCAATTCTGATTGGATGAAAAAATGTGTTAGGTGGTATATAAAATTAGATTTTGTATTTTTCAGTGAAGAACAATTGTTCCGATTCAAGCTGTAGCCATCTTTGTTTATTGACCCCTGTTGGTTTTACATGTGCCTGTCCCCAGGGGTCGAGTGCCCTACCGTCAAATCAAAATATATGCGACGCTCGTAAGTATGGCTTGCCTTCCTTCTTTAAAAAAGAGTTTTCAGTCTTTTTTACATTCTTTGGGACGCTCGATTGGTGAAATAATTGTGATTCTAAATGTTGACTTAGAAAATCTCCACTTTTAAGAATGAGAGTTTTAAAGGGGGGCTCGATTGCTCCTGCACGTTCAGAATTTATGAAATCAACTGGACGTTCAATAAAACAAGTTGGAACAGAGTTCAGAATGCGTTCCACTTGTGCTGAAAAAATAGTAGGTGTAGAGAGAATTCAAAATGGTGGAGAAGGAAAATAAAAGGGAAAATTTTGAATGTGACATATTTGTTTCCGTATGATTCGATTGAGAGTAGAATTGGAACAGACGGAACCTGTTTAGAACTCTCCAATCAAAATGCTAGAAATGCTTCAGATTTTTCAACTCGGTTTCCCCCTGTCAGTGATGTAAGTAAGAGAGGCTGACATGGATAGACGTCTAGTCATTTTGATTGGAAAATAAACCGAGGCTCTGTGTGCTACAGACTGTACATGTTAAAGATCCCTCCACAGTTGGAAATTGAAAAGAACAGGTTAATGCTGCTATCTTGGTAAAATTTCCCTCATTGCACACTGCATGGTGAGCAAAGAAGTCCCCCTCCCCTCTCCCTCTGACTTATTTAATTTTTAAGTGATATTTTTCAGCTCAAGAAAAACCACAATCGAAACCGATGACTTGTGATTGTAGAAATGGTGGAACTTGTGTTGGAACAGAAAATATCGGATTCACTTGTAAATGTTTGGAAGGTTCGTTTATTTTTATTTGCCCAAATAACTCTAAGGGCATGTATTGGTTGCACTGTGTATGTTTTACTGAGGGTACAAATAGGGGACATACTGACTCAATGGCGGACAACTCAAGAGCCTCCCTAGACTGGAGGTACAAATAGGAGGCAGACTGACTCAATGGCGGATAACTGTCGAGGCTGAATTCAAAACTCGGTAACTCTGTGGTAGTCTTAAAGATGCAAGCATCCCATGGATCGTCCAAGACAGGGCGTACAAACAGGGGGGCAGACTGACCCGATGAGGGGACAACTGTCAAGGCTGAATTTAAAATGTGGCAACTCTGTGGAGCCTCCCATTGAGCGTCTGAAAATCTTCAAAAATTGTATTGATTTGGGGCATTCTGACAAATATTTTGGGGCGCTGCTTGGGACTGATATAGAAAAAGGTTTTTTTGAGTCTTGAATATATATAAATAGTCTTCAGAAGTACTAGAAATGTACCAAAATCACATAATTCCTTTAAAAATACAACAATACACTATACATGGTCCTTGGCTTGGTTGATTTCAGTGTTGAATATATGTAAATAGTCTTCAGAAATACTAGAAATGTACGAAAATCACATAATTCCTTTAAAAATATCTCAAACTAGGAATTTTACTTTCTATTTCTATAGATGTCTTTTCTATATATCACAGAGTATCTTAAATTGGCGATTTGAAGGCTCAAATTTCGACAGTGAGCTGTGAACACTATTACTGATTAACTTAATTAAAAAATTCCTGTTTCTGAGACTAAAGTATGATTGATAAAAAAAATGGCCTACCTGTCTCTTTAATATATATATTTAAAACACTAAGGCTATCAAAGTGATAAAACTGTGGTGACTTTTTCACCAGGAGTACCCCAGGACTGAAGGTCCACCATTTTGTAATTGATCAGTGATGGTCCTATATTTTGTAATTGATCAGTGATGGTCCTATATTTTGTAATTGATCAGTGATGGTCCTATATTTTGTAATTGATCAGTGATGGTCCTATATTTTGTAATTGATCAGTGATGGTCCTATATTTTGTAATTGATCAGTGATGGTCCTATATTTTGTAATTGATTAGTGATGGTCCTATATTTTGTAATTGATCAGTGATGGTCCTATATTTTGTAATTGATCAGTGATGGTCCTATATTTTGTATTTTCTAGGTTATATTGGTGATTTCTGTGAAATAGCTCCAGTCAGAGTTCTAGAATCAGAGAGTAAGTTATGTTTTACATAAAATATCAATATGGTTGGGGTTAGTTAACCTTATTCAACCTTTTTTTTTTTACCTGTATTATCTATATATATTAAGATATAAATATAAGGAATGAATGTAGATCTTGTTATCGTTATGGGGAAATAAATGCTGGTTTATCATGTGACAAGACAAATGACCCCACGATAACAAGATCCACATTCATTCCTTATATTTACATTGGTTTATCTTTTCTGATAGTTTAATATGGCTTGATTTAAAATAGAAACCCTTTCAAACTCGCTTTCCAACTCTAGGTAAAAAACTTTCGATGTATTCATACGCCTTATTGTCATGTGACAAACTACAGTTATTGGAAAATGAACGTCCGTTTGTGTAACTGGTTTATTGAAGGAAGTGTTAGTAGAAATGTAAATATTTGATATTTTTTACAGATTTAACGAGCGTTATTATTCCGGTCGTCGTTGTTATTATTATTATTATTTTATTGGTTGTTGTTTTTGTTATTTTACGTAAAAAAGGGTAAGTGGGATTTTTATTCGAATCAAAAACTTCTCGTAGGTCAAGATAATACCTTCAGATTTTTCAACCCAGTTTCCCCCTGTCAGTGAGTTAGACGCTTGCTCGTTAACTTGAAGATCCAGGGTTCAATCCTGGCATAAGTCAAGATAATACCTTTGGGTGGCTCAGTGAGTTAGACGCTTGCTAGCTAACCTGTAGGTCCAGGGTTCAATCCCAGCATAGGTTGAGATAATACCTTCAGATGTTTTCAACCCAGTTTCCCCCTGTCAGTGAGTTAGATGCTTGCTCGCTAACCTGTAGGCCCAGGGTTCAATCCCAGCATAGGTTGAGATAATACTTTCAGATTTTTCAACCCTGTTTCCCCCCTGTCAGTGATGCAGGTAAGAGGGACAGACATGGTTGTTCAGATGGGACAATAAACCGAGGCCCTGTGTACTACAGGCTGTACATGTTAAAGATCCCTCAACAGTTGGAAATTGAAAAAAGTGTCTAGTCGTTCAGATGTGACAATAAACCAAGACCCCGTGTGCTACAGGCTGTACATGTTAAAGATCCCTCTACAGTTGGAAATTGAAAAAGTGTCTAGTCGTTCAGATGTGACAATAAACCGAGGCCCTGTGTACTACAGACTGTACATGTTAAAGATCCCTCAACAGTTGGAAATTGAAAAAGGGTCTAGTTGTTCAGATGGGACAATAAACCGAGGCCCCTGTGTGCTACAGACTGTACATGTTAAAGATCCCTCAACAGTTGGAAATTGAAAAAGGGTCTAGTTGTTCAGATGGGACAATAAACCGAGGCCCCGTGTTCTACAGACTGTACACGTTAAAGATCCCTCAACAGTTGGAAATCAAAAAAAGAATACTGTCCTGGCAAATTTCCCTAATTGCACACTGCAATAGCCAGTCAGGTTCTGACTTAAAACTCTATTCATTTCATTTCATTTCTTCTTTTAGAATTCTCCTCAGCTTCAAAAAATTTCTACCGAAAGGTTCGAATGATATGAAGAAATTTCGAGGTATTGCTCAATATAACGAGGCAGGTGACGTGAATCTAAAATTACCGTACGTTACTGGTGGGAAACCAAGTACATCAAACGTAAGTTAAATTATATTAAAGAAATTTTCAATCAGACGTCTGTGGTTCTTGTTAAAGAGATTGTAAAGAGGTTTTCTAAATTTTTTATGTGTATCAGGGACACTGATAGCATCAATTTACATCATTCTAATTTTCAATCAGACGTCTGTGGTTCTTGTTAAAGAGATTGTAAAGAGATTTTCTAAATTTTTTATTTGTATCAGGAACACTGATAGCATCAATTTACATCATTCTAATTTTCAATCAGATGTCTGTGGTTCTTGTTAAAGAGATTGTAAAGAGGTTTTCTAAATTTTTTATGTATATCAGAGACACTGATAGCATCAATTTACATCATTCTAATTTTCAATCAGATGTCTGTGGTTCTTGTTAAAGAGATTGTAAAGAGATTTTCTAAATTTTTTAAGTATATCAGGGACACTGATAGCATCAATTTACACCATTCTAATTTTCAATCAGACGTCTGTGGTTCTTGTTAAAGAGATTGTAAAGAGGTTTTCTAAATTTTTTATGTATATCAGAGACACTGATAGCATCAATTTACATCATTCTAATTTTCAATCAGACGTCTGTGGTTCTTGTTAAAGAGATTGTAAAGAGATTTTCTAAATTTTTTATGTGTATCAGGGACACTGATAGCATCAATGTACACCATTCTAATTTTCAATCAGACGTCTGTGGTTCTTGTTAAAGAGATTGTAAAGAGATTTTCTAAATTTTTTAAGTATATCAGGGACACTGATAGCATCAATTTACACCATTCTAATTTTCAATCAGACGTCTGTGGTTCTTGTTAAAGAGATTGTAAAGAGGTTTTCTAAATTTTTTATGTGTATCAGAGACACTGATAGCATCAATTTACATCATTCTAATTTTCAATCAGACGTCTGTGTTTCTTGTTAAAGAGATTGTAAAGAGGTTTTCTAAATTTTTTATGTGTATCAGAGACACTGATAGCATCAATTTACACCATTCTAATTTTCAATCAGATGTCTGTGGTTCTTGTTAAAGAGATTGTAAAGAGGTTTTCTAAATTTTTTATGTGTATCAGGGACACTGATAGCATCAATTTACATCATTCTAATTTTCAATCAGACGTCTGTGGTTCTTGTTAAAGAGATTGTAAAGAGGTTTTCTAAATTTTTTATGTGTATCAGAGACACTGATAGCATCAATTTACATCATTCTAATTTTCAATCAGACGTCTGTGGTTCTTGTTAAAGAGATTGTAAAGAGATTTTCTATATTGTTTATATGTATCAGGGACACTGATAGCATTAATTTACATCATTCTAATTTTCAATCAGACGTCTGTGGTTCTTGTTAAAGAGATTGTAAAAAGGTTTTCTATATTTTTTATGTGTATCAGGGACACTGATAGCATCAATTTACATCATTCTAATTTTCAATCAGACGTCTGTGGTTCTTGTTAAAGAGATTGTAAAGAGATTTTCTAAATTTTTTATGTGTATCAGGGACACTGATAGCATCAATTTACATCATTCTAATTTTCAATCAGACGTCTGTGGTTCTTGTTAAAGAGATTGTAAAGAGGTTTTCTAAATTTTTTATGTGTATCAGGGACACTGATAGTATCAATTTACACCATTCTAATTTTCAATCAGACGTCTGTGGTTCCTGTAATTCCACTAAAATTAAGTATTTTAGTATGTCACTATCACAAAACTTCTTTACAATTCCTTTAAATGTCTCTTTTTGGCGCCAAAATAATCTAGAAATATATTTATTTGACTGTTGGCGGCCATCTTAATTTTTTTTCTATTAAAGGCACCACCAGATGATATTTTACAGGATCCAACGAAACCGACAAATTTTTGCAACCCAATGTACGAAAATCTACACGCCCAAGAAACAGTGGCGTCACCTACGCATCAACAAGTCGTCTCCGTGGAACCTCGTCCCCTGCATATAGTGGTGCCTGATAATTATTCCAGTGCCGATAACGGTCAAAAGCCGATCTCACATTCTTTAAATCCTACGGAGGAAGATGAAAAAGACACCTTGGTTTTAGTAAGGCACGGTTCCTTATAGTCTAGTTCCTGGAAATTCTTTGGATTGTATCTTGTGGTATTATTTTTGTATGCGACTTTGGCAGAAACTTGCCAAGATTTGAAAGAAAAATTGCCAAAATAGTGGTTGCAGTAGGACAAAAATACTTTGGTTTTAGTACGGCACGGTTCCTGACAATTCTTTAGATTTCATATTTTGGTATTATGCTTGTCTGCAACTTTGGCAGAAAAATTGCCAAGTTTTGGCAGAAAATTGCCAATTGCCAATACTGGTTGATTGCAGCAAATGTCACAAGAAAATCAATTAGGTTTTAGTCTAGTTCCTGATAATTCTATAGATTACATATTTTGGTATTATGCTTGTCTGCGACTTTGGCAGAAACTTGCCAAGTTTTGGCAGAAAATTGCCAATTGCCAAAATAGTGGTTGATTGCAGTAAATGCCACAAGAAAATCAAAATTATGTTTGCAGACACAAAATGTTATCAGATTTTCATTTTTCAAAAAACATTACAATTTTCAAAAAAGGCTTTGTAATCAATTACAAAATACCGACCTTCAATATTTTCTGGGGAACCTCTGATGAAAAATTCTAAATATTTTTGCCACTGTGTATAATGCTGACTCTAAGATTGGTAAGCTCTTTAACTGCGCATTATACTCGCAAATATACAATATTTGTATCAAGGACATTATAGGTACGGTAGTCTACCATTACCGCTATTCTAATTTCACAATCAAATGTCTGTGGTTCCTGCAATTCCAGAAACACGTCTGTCGATTAGGATATCTACGGGCCCAACAAATATATTAGGATGAAATGTTTTTTTTATTTGATATATTATATTTGTATTAAAGACTTATAAATAACTTTTATGTTTACTGATAACTTTAGTTTGTGGAAGAAAATTTTTTAAATTAAGGCAGCCATGTTGAAGGCCTACTTGTTTCTGGTTGGGAATATGGCGGACATGATATCTGGCCACAAAAACCAACTGATAGCTTTCAAAAATATCTATCAGAGGCTGGTCCCTTTCAAAACGTTTTGGTCTCATTGACGCAAAACAACCATAGTAACGAGCGTCGGATATTTTTACGTCACCGGTTTGCAACGTTGTGGTAATATTCCTGCAGTCGTCAAGGTTACCAGGTAAACGATCTACCGCGGTAGTTCTGCTAGCGCTCTACAAGAGATTCAGCTTTAAGGAAAGTGCCGAGAATTGCAACATACTAAATAGAAACATCTTACGGAAACTGCCGAGTAATAGATTCAGCTTTACGGAATCTGTCGAGTAATAGATCCAGCTTTACGGAAAGTGCCGAGTAATAGATTCAGCTTCACGGAAACTGCCGAGATTTGCTGACTGTTTTCCAGATTGTCTACTGAAGAGGTTGTCATGGAAGGTCTTCAAACGACAGTTATTTCTTGTGGAATCTGCACTGGTTATTTGATGGCATTTGTTGTTTGGAACTTAGTTAAAAGGGTGAGTTGAAAAAAATAAACAGCCGTTTTACAAGGATAACAACTTAGGTTCACAAGGATCCTTTCTACCAGCTGGTTCTTGGTCAAACCTCTTGGTAATGATTTTACAAGGATAACAACTTAAGTTCACAAGGATCCTTTCTACCAGCTGATCCTTGGCCAAACCTCTTGGTAATGATTTTACAAGGATAACAACTTAAGTTCACGAAGATCCTTTCTACCAGCTGATCCTTGGTTAAACCTCTTGGTATTGATTTTACAAGGATGACAACTTAAGTTCACAAGGATCCTTTCTACCAGCTGATCCTTGGTCAAACCTCTTGGTAATGATTTTACAAGGATAACAACTTAAGTTCACAAGGATCCTTTCTACCAGCTGATCCTTGGCCATACCTCTTGGTAATGATTTTACAAGGATAACAACTTAAGTTCACAAGGATCCTTTCTACCAGCTGATCCTTGGTCAAACCTCTTGGTAATGATTTTACAAGGATAACAACTTAAGTTCACAAGGATCCTTTCTACCAGCTGATCCTTGGCCAAACCTCTTGGTAATGATTTTACAAGGATAACAACTTAAGTTCACGAAGATCCTTTCTACCAGCTGGTCCTTGGTCAAACCTCTTGGTATTGATTTTACAAGGATAACAACTTCAGTTCACGAGGATCCTTTCTACCAGCTGGTCCTTGGTCAAACCTCTTGGTATTGATTTTACAAGGATAACAACTTGGGTTCACGAGGATCCTTTCTACCAGCTGGTCCTTGGTCAAACCTCTTGGTATTGATTTTACAAGGATAACAACTTGAGTTCACGAGGATCCTTTCTACCAGCTGGTCCTTGGTAAAACCTCTTGGTATTGATTTTACAAGGATAACAACTTGGGTTCACGAAGATCCTTTCTACCAGCTGATCCTTGGCCAAACCTCTTGGTAATTATTTTACAAGGATAACAACTTAGGTTCACAAGGATCCTTTCTACCAGCTGGTCCTTGGTCAAACCTCTTGGTATTGATTTTACAAGGATAACAACTTAAGTTCACGAGGATCCTTTCTACCAGCTGATCCTTGGCCAAACCTCTTGGTATTGATTTTACAAGGATAACAACTTGGGTTCACAAGGATCTTTTCTACCAGCTTGTCCTTGGTCAAACCTCTTGGTATTGATTTTACAAGGATAACAACTTAGGTTCACAAGTATCCTTTCTACCAGCTGATCCTTGGCCAAATCTCTTGGTATTGATTTTACAAGGATAACAACTTAGGTTCACAAGTATCCTTTCTACCAGCTGGTCCTTGGCCAAACCTCTTGGCATTGATTTTACAAGGATCAACTTTCTACCAGGATCCTTGGCCCAACCTCTTGGTATTGATTTTACAAGGATAACAACTTAGGTTCACAATGATCCTTTCTACCAGCTGGTCTTTGACCAAACCTCTTGACATTGATCTTTCCTAGATTATCCTACCCATTTACAGCTGGGGGACGG